CACTGAGCCAGCCAGGCACCCCCTTAATTATTTTTCTAATGATTTTTAAGTGAATTACATTGTGGTCAGAGCACATGGTTTGCATATATTAAAATTTGTTGAGATTTTAGTTATGGCTCAGTATGTGGTCAGTGTTTTTTTATGTGTTTCTGTAGGTAGAGCGTTCTGTATGTGTCTATTTTAACAAGCTTATTCTAAAGCTTTTTTGTGTGTGAAAATCAACTACTGTGATTGTGGAGTTGTCTGTTTCTGTTTGTATTTTGCAGTAACTATTAATCTTTAATAACCCATTTTGCTTTAAAAGCCTATTTTGTTTGATAATAATATAAGTACATTGTTTTCATTTTGTTAGTAATTGCTTGTTACATCTTTTTACCATTCTTTTACTTTCAGTTTTTCTGAATCCATGTTTTACATACATCTCTTATAAATACCAATAGTTGAATTAAAAAAAAAAAACCTAGGCAAATTTTGTCTTTTAACTGGAACATTTGGCCTATTTACATTTTTTAAAATGACCAATATTTTGAATTTATTTCCCTTATTTTATTTTGTATTTCTGTCCCTCCCTCTCTTTAGATCTGATTTACTATCTGGACTTTGTTTCCTTTAGCCTGAAGTACATCATGTAGAATTTTCTTAACGGAGACCTACTGATGGCAGATTCTGTCCTACAGCAACCCACTGGAAAACCTCTTTATTTTGCCCTCATTCTTAATTGCTGTTTATTCTGGCTATCAAATTCTATATTGTCAGTTAACTTCCCTTAGTAATTGAAGATATTTCCTTGGCTTTTGGTTTTTATTATTGTGTTTACAAGTCAATATTATCTATTGTTTTTTTTAAATCTGTTTGCCTCTGCCCCAGTTTTTTCTCTCCTTCTGATTTCTCAGTTCTTGGTGTTTTTTTACTGTATTATTCTTTAGTCATATTTTCAACTCTTTATTTTTCTCAAGTCTTTGAGGGTCTTATTCTGCTGTCATTCCTGCTGGTTTTTACTTTTGATGTTATTTCTTTGGATGTTTTATGATTTCTGTCTATAACTCCTAATTCTTGGAACTGTGGGAATGTTTTGAGGCCTAGGAAGAAAATTGATTATTCTAGAGGTTATTTGCTTTTGCTTCTACCAGGCACCTGTTTTCTGCACAACACAACTCTAGAACCCTGTGAAAAAAATTCTCAGCCCACATTGTGTGAATTAGGGCTGAAAATCATGTGAGGGCTCATTTGGGGGTTTATGAAATCTCAAGGGAGTATCTTCTGTTTTCTCCTATTCAGTAACGGGGGTCAAGACAGGTAATTTCCCTTGCATTCTCCTGGGAGTACAGGTGTATTTCTAATTCAGGCTACCAGTGGGTGTGTAGTGGTTTGGGATTTCAGCTTTGTGGAGGGAGGGGTCTCAGACTCCTCACCTTTGGTGGATCCTGGGTTTTTCCTCCTATTCTCTTCCCACACTAATCAACCCTATGAGGTTGTGAAGCTTAGGGTCATTTGGTTTAGCACCTGTCCTCAACTTGCTCCCTTTGAGATACTGTCTTCATTTATTTTAGCCCGAACAGAATAGTCCTTACAGTTGTCTTGCTGGTTTATTGATGCATTTAAGATATTTTTCTCCTCCCATTTTTATCCAACATTTTTAGTTGTTTTCTATGAGGAGGCCAATCATTCCCTCCCAGTGCTGGAAATGAAAGCCTTGATTGCCTTTTGAGCCTCCCTATCACACAGCATTCTTATGGTATTTTTATGCTAACAATACCAAATGGAAAGTCACAGTCATTTGATTGTTAAAGGCTATAATTTTAACTATCAGTAAAGAAAACTTAAGTCTAGTTATAAATGATAGAAAGCTAACTTTAAGAAATATTTAACATAAAAATATGAATGGAATTTTGGTATTTTTAGCCAAAAAAAGGAATTGGAGGAAGTAAACCAATTAGAATATCTATTTTACATTTTTAACAAAACTAGAAACTTAGGGGTACCTGGATGGCTCAGTTGGTTAAATATCTGACTCTTGATCTCAGCTCAGGTCTTGATCTCAGGGTCGTGAGTTCAAGCCCCACCTTGAGCTCCACACTGGGCATGATGCCTACTTAAAAAAACTAGAAACTTAGAATTTTTACTTCTTTTTTTTTTTTTTTAACTTTAAGTAGGCTCCCACACCCAGTGTGGGACTCATGACCCTGGGATCAAGAGTCACATGCTCCACCAACTGAACCAGCCAGGTGCCCCTAGAAACTTAAAATTTTTAAAAAGCTAGTATGGTACTGCAGTGACTACTATATTAGAGTATTTGTATAATTTAAAAAAATACATCATAATACTTATTTAATTATTAACAATTTGGGGTATAAAATACAGAAAACACTGACAGAAAATACATTTTTGAGAGGGAACCCTTAAGAGTCAGCTTCTTATTACAACTTGGGGTGAGCTATAGTTATTTCTGCAGCCTCAGTTTTATTTTTATTTTATTTTTTAAAGATTTTACTTATTTGAGAGAGACAGAGACAGACAGACATAGCGAGAGAGAGCACAGGTGGGGAGGAGAGGGAGAAGCAGGCTCCCCGCTGAGCGGGGAGCCCAACATGGGGCTCGATCCCAGGACCCTGGGATCATGCCCCGGGCTCAAGGCAGACGCTTAACTGACTGAGCCACGGGCGCCCCTGCAGCCTCAGTTTTAATACCAGAAGTCTCCCTAAGGGCTTGGAGAGCTCAGTCTACTTTTTGATCTCTTGAAGCCTGAATTCAGTAACAGTATGTGTTATGTTTGTGTTTTTGGTTTCTGGTAGGATGATGGAATACTAGAACACTGTTTTCAGTTTATGCTGAAAGGTTATTTTCTGTGGTTGTGCATAAGGTGGTGCCTCTGAAATGTTGTCATTTAAAATACCTTACCGACAATCACCAGTTCTCCGTACAAATTAAGGGTATGAGTACAAGAAAGAAAGGGCTACATAAAGAGGGGTTTGAGAAGGTCTTCAAGGTCATTGTAGCTACTGCTTTGCTGAAAAGGGGAGAAGATTGAAAAATACATTGTTTCTATTATGCTTTCATATTCAGTTGTAGGTTTAAAATAGGAGGCCTGGGTTTATTATAACCTTGTCCGTAGCAAAATTATTTGAGAATTAGACAATGTAAATTACAGGTAGAAATCTGGGGAGGGGGATGTTAGATATATGATTTATATCATACACCATAACACATTCTAAATGGTTTCAATAGTTAAGTGGAAAAAATAAAATTATTAGGCTAAATTGCAGGAAAACATTCGTGTATTATTAGGGTGAGAAAGGGAGTTTCTCTGCACCCAAGACAAAAACCATAAGGCTAATGATAAACTATGAAAAAGAAAAGCCACTGCATATGAAGAGTTAATGCTCTTAACCCATAAAGAATTCCTAAAGTCCATAAGAAACAAAATAGTGCAATAGAAGAAACAGGCAACTGCCATGAGCAAGCAAATTTTAAAATAATTTAAAAGTATAAGAAAAAGGTTCAGTTTTATAGTCAAAGAAATGTAAATTATAACCAAATGATATGGAAAATACATCAAATTGGTAAAGCTTTTCAAATAAAATAACCCAGTGTTGGTTGATTGTGGATAATGGATTTTCATATAATTGTTGGTAGTGTTATTATTTGGAGCAATTTTCCTGGAGAGTAATTTGGTGAAATACATAAATCTTTTAAAATTTAGTATATTCTGTGACCTAACAAGTTTATTCTTAGGAGTTTATTCCAAGAAAATAATTAAATACGTGTGCAAAGATACACAGTTAAGAATGTTCCTTGCAGCTTACTTTGTAACACATGAAAAAGTGGGGGTAGTTTAATGTTCGTAGTGAGGTTGATTTAAATAATACATTGCTCTTTCCTACAATGGAATATTATATGTCTAGGTAGTAAAAATGATACGGTAAAGAATATTTAAATTCATTTATCAGTCAACAAATATTTATTGAATATCCAACCCATGCCAGATGCTGATGTAAACAAGCCAAGTTTCTGCCTTAACACATGATAAAAGCAAAAAATACAGCATACATAAGTGAAAAAAGGTGATTAAAAATCTATATTCACGTACATGTTTGTATGTACACAGATATTAGAGTAATATATATTAAAATATTAATAGGTGGGGTGCCTGGGTGACTCAGTTGGTTAAGCATCTGCCTTCTGCTCAGGTTATGATCCCAGGGTCCTGGGATCTAGCCCCGCATCGGGCTCCCT